CAATGTCCCTTAGAAAAACCCCATGGTTTGGGAAACAATAAAAATTAGTCATAAATCTCCCCCATCCATATGGACTTCCGAGGAGGGAAAATGAGTAACATGGAAAACACTTTCATGTACAATATTCAGGCTTGTGTCATGATAACTTCAATTTTCACATTATTCTCAATTTTATTTTTGTAAAAGACACATAAGAAGGACTTATGCACTTTGCCATTTTATACAGTCACATTGGCTCATTTCTTGAAACCTGTTTCATCCTGCAAAACTGAAATTCCAGGCCCATTCAGTAACAGCTTCTAGTATTCACTGTGGCCTAAGCACAGAAAAAGATGATCAGTACCTCTCACTACTAGGGAAAAGAAGAAACCATTTCACACCCTTTGGGATAGCCACTATGTATATTTGTGCCAATACTGGAGCTTGAACTCTAGGCATTTTTGCTCAATGTTGGTGCTCTATCACTTGAATCACACCTCTACTTCCAGCTTTTTGCCAGCTAATTGGAGGTAAGAATCTCTCAGGTGTGTCTGTCCAATCTGCTTCAAACCAGGATCTTCAGATCTCAGCCTCCTGAAAAGCTAGGATTACGGAGTAAGCCACCAGTGCTTGATTGAGGGTCATTAATGCAAAACAAACCAACACCAACAACAGGAAACAAGCTTGGCAAGAATGTGTGAGAACCAGAACCCATGTGTGCTGTAAGAGGAAATGAAAAGTGATCAAGCTTGGAGGACTACAATATGGATGATGTCTTTTCTTACTCCTTTTGGTGTGTGGGGGGGCACTACATATTCTTGTCCTGTGATATCTTGTGTGCAGTATTTATTTAAAATAAAATAATGTCTTTTCAAATTTTAATAGGAAACAACAACAACAACAAAGGTTAAGAACAGCTTGTTTCTGGTGGAATTTTAGATTCCAGTTTTATCAAGAAAGCTACCAACTAGAGGTAAGGGAGAAACTCCCAACTTGGTTCCCCTTGTTGGATTTAGTCCATAGTGCCACCTTGTGGTCACCTTGTAAATTACAATTGGAAAATTTAATCAAGTTATTGATGATTAGAACTTGTAGTCCATGATGTGTTGAGATTTCCAGGACTTTCCCAATAAATGCACCCCCATTCCTGTGCCAGAGAGAACAACCTTGGCTCATCTACGAGATGCTTCTGTAAGGAATCTGTCACTTTGATCCCTGGAGAGCCCAGCACTGTGTGACATGCAGCGTACCATGGACAAATATCAGAGTATGTTACCCAATTAACACCTCTGTGAATAAGTACTGTTTAAAACTATTTTTACTAACTTCAGTCAGCAATTCAGAATATCCAGATGTCATTTTGACTATAATATGATCATTATATATCCTGATCATTATATAGACCTGATCTAAGTATATGTCCAAATTTTGTTTGCAGGTCCATTATGTTTTTGCAAGTAGCCTGTTACCATGGACTCACATAGACAGGCAGGTTTAAAATTGTGTTGGCCAATCTGGAGATCTTCTAGGACCCCTAAGTTTATTGCATGCATAATTCTTCAAAAAAAGAGGAATAATTAATTCTTCACCTTGAGGATTTGGTAAATCTAATGAACTCAGATAAGAGGCTGATTGGCTGGGGTTTTCTCTAATGACAAAACCTATAGGAGTTTCACTATAGTTGTGTTCACAAAAATCACAAAGTTCAACAGCAGTCACTGGCTTCCCTGATAAAAATCGAAATTGACTCAAAATAATTTCATCCCTGAATTCACCAATATCCTTTAAATCCCAAAGTTATATATAGAGAAAAGCCTTTTATTGTAGAATTATGCGTGTCCCAGCCCTGTAATACACCCATTCTCCCAATACAGCAGCCTAGTGTTCAAAGAATGTGGTTTGTGCAAGCACTCACAATTAATGACATTAATATTGCCATTCCTAGACAGCCTGAATTTTCTGTGGTCAGTACTCTCCTGACTGCCATTACTCCAGAAAGAAGGTTCTTTTGGAGGCAATGATTTATGCATGATTTTTAGCATCCCAGTAAATCCAGAAAGCCAGTACCTAATCACTTCCACCTAGGATGGCCAACAGTTTACCTGAATTTATCTGCAGTGCTTCGAGGGTATATTTGAACCCCAATTAGTTCTCACAGGTATGTCAGCCAATCTTATAATGTAACTTTTCCACACTAACAGCATACAGATGATTTAGTTCCATGACTTACCACTGAAGGAGCCTCACAGACAGCTTTACCTTCTCTCTGAGCCAACTAAAAAGGAACAGGGGCAGCTAAAGAGACTGCAGTTTTGTCAGCTATGAGCCATTTAATCTCTGCAAGTTCACTTCTCCAACCCAAAGACAAACAACTGAGCAAATTCTTAGGGCTGGTGGGCTGTTAAGACTTGGGTTCAAAATATGTCTATAAAAGCCGTGCGCTGGTGGCTCTCGCCTGTAATCCTAGCTACTCAGGAGGCTGAGATCTGAGGATTGCGGTTCAAAGCCAGCCCAGGCAGGAAAGTCTGTGAGACTCTTATCTCCAATAAACCACTCAAAAACTGGAAGTGGTGCTGTGGTTCAAACGGTAGAGTGCTGGCCTTGAGCTGAAGAGCACAGGAATGGCGCCCAGGCCTAGAGTTCAAACCCCACAACCTACCAAAAAAAAAAAAGAAAATATCTATTAAGAGTCAGTCACTATTATTATGAAGAGCTGAATGGCAATAACCATTACTGTGCTTTATAAGAAGGTCCAGGGCTGGGAAGTTGGCTCAGTGGTAGAGCGCTTGCCTTGCATGCCTGAGACCCTGGGTTCGATTCCTCAGCACCACATAAGCAAAAAAGAAAAAACCCGGAAGTGGCACTGTGACTCAAGTGGTAGAGGGCTAGCCTTGAGCTAAAGAGCTGAGGGACAGCGCCCAGGCCCAGAGTTCAGGCCCCATGACCGGACAATAAAAAAAAATAAAAGAAAAGAAAAAGAAGGCCCAATAGTTTGTCTACTAATTTTGTAAAAATCACTCCAGTGTACAACTGTGGGACTGAAAGCAAGACTTGAGAGCTCTCGCCTGGAGAGACTGAAAACCCTTTCCTAAAGTTAATGAGATGCTTAACATGGTTCTCTGAAAAATCTCCTTAAAATAGAACAAAAATATATCTATCTTACATTAAATATTTTTTCAAGGCAAAGGTGAAAATATTTCATAGATAATATTTATTGCTTGTGACATAAGACATCAAGAAAGCACCTAATTCAGGGGTGGGAAATAAGACTTGTAAGGGAGGAAGATAGATGGGGGCCAGACAGAGGGCTCCATGCAGAGCACATCCAAAGCTCGATGAGCATCAAACCCATCATAAAATAAGTGAGGAGGAAATGCATGGTAAAATGAACATACTGCTACAAGAAGAATACTGCTTCCTCCAGCTGTTGAAAGTTAAGTTTTTGGTGCATCCTAGTACACATCCCTTACAGAATAAGCAAAATGAAAGGCCTAAGTGTGCTTGTGTCTGGTCTGCTTTCTTGTGGCAGGGGCAGTAGAAATACATGGATTGCAGGGAGACGCACTGGGCTCCCTCTGTGGTATCACCTGCTAGACATTGTTTTGGACTCTGCCTTTTCTTTTCTTCATAAAGAATCTTGGAAGCCCATCAACATCACTTTCTTTGTAGAAGAGGAAAGACACCACTTCCCGAGCAATGTCGACATACAGTGTGTACCACTGACAGGATTTTCATAAAATAGCCCTGTAATAATAGCTCACAAAAAATCAGTATTTTGTAGTTGAAACCATAGTTTGTGATTGCTATGGATTGAATGTTCTCATTAAAATATGCATTGAAATTCAGTACCATTGTGGGAAAAACAGAGATGGAGCCCAGTGGGGCCTTTAAGAGGAATTAAGCCACTCAAGGACTCCTGGACTAAAGGGTAATGAGTGACTAGGTTGAGAGGTTGAAAGGGTCTGTATAAAATAGTTGGGCTTTGTCCCTCTGATGCATTTTTTTGTCTTTCAATGTCCTGGGCCACTTCTGGACACTTTGGAATCTCTTTCAGCAAGAAGGAATTCACGACTAGGAACCTCTCAACTTTGGGATACACTTCCTCTATCCCTTCCCCCCTCCACCCCCAATCTCCAGAGCTATGAGAAGAATTAACTTTTATTATTTGTGTGTATTCCAGTTCTGGATCTTGAACTCGGGGCTTGGGTGCTGCCCCTGAGCTTTTATACTAAAAGTAGTGCTCTATCACTTTGAGCCACAGCTCCACTTATGGCTTTTTGGTGGTTAATTAGAGATAAGAGTATCATAGACTTTTCCTGCCTAGTCTGGTTTCATTCCTGCCTATGCTGGTTCTTCTCAGATTTCATTCTCATGGGTAGTTAGGATTACAGGCACAAACCACCTACCAGCACCCAGAAATTTTTATTCTTTATACATTATTCCATCAGTGGAATTTAATTCTAACAATAGAGAATGGACTGTGACAGTGATACTGTAGTTTATTAGGGACTTATATGAGAATGTATTGCCTTCATGTATTAAGGACAGCATGCAAAAACCTACAGAAAATCAGAATATAATTTCAGAAGAATTTGGAAGCAAGACATTTTTATAGTATTTTGGGCAGAGATAGAAGAATTATGAAATTAAAATAATTGGTTAATAATAAAAGTTTTAATAGATTCCTAGATTGGGAAACTTTTTCTCTTAAAGGAAATCAACTCATTACATTTATATCTAAGTGAAGGAAACTAGCTAAAATGATTCATTGGATATTTCTTCTCTGACTTACTAAGTTCTCAATACGATGAGGCACACTTATCAAAAAATGTTCCAGGGAAAACAATTTTTTTTTTACTTTTCCCAAGATATTAACAACAAATTCTAGGAAAATAGTAGGAGCACCATTTACATTAAATTTAGATGGTGCATATTTAGGAGTGAAGTAACATGTTTTAATGGAGGAAGGCATTGGTGACAGCTGTCCATAGCCATTTAACCACATGAGTTCTAATTATCCCTCATACTCTGTGTTCCCTCTGCTGCATGATTTTTCTTGCTTCATGTCTCTTCATGATCATAATGGCAAAAGTTATGAAGAATGGCAGGAAAATGTAGAAGCTCAGAATGAGCCAGTTGTCCCGATGCTTACTGAAGCCTTTTTTAATTAAAAATACATCTGCAAATAAAACATCAGAGAAAAATTTTATTGGAAACTTAAATTTTAATATTTTCACTGTAATTATATAGATAATCAAAATTGCAATGCATCATAAGCTGTTAAAAGGAAAATAAACAATAAACTCAGAACTCTGTAACCACAGTGATATGTTTGTCATTGATTTCCTGTTTATCTTTTATGCATATGTGTTTAAGTACTATGGTGTTGTATTCATATGGGTTTTTTTTCTGTTTTGTTGGTGGTGGTGGTGGTGGTGGTAGTGTGGGTCTTAAACTCTGGGCCTGAACACTCTCCCTGAGCTCAAGGCTAATGTTCTCCACTGGCGCCACAGTGCCACTTCTGTTTTTCTGGTGGTTAATTGGAGACAAGAGTCTCACTGCCATTGGAGCCCCGGCTGGCTTTGAACCACAGTCCTCAGATTTCAATCTCCTGAGTAGCTAGGATTACAGGCTTGAGCCACTGGCACTGGCTTTGTATTTGTGTTTTGAGTGCTGTTTGCTTCACCTCAGTGTAGCATTGATAATGTGATACTTAATACATTAGTAAGGCTAATGTTAAAATTTTAGAAAAAATGTATTTTAGTCATTCCCTTGCTAAATCACAATTCCTCTGCTTGGAGGAAACAATTTTTCAAATGAATTATGTCTTTTTATATAATCTTAATATTAATGCATCTAGAAAAAGCGTTTACTTATTCCTATACTGGAACCTATATCTAAATATGTCTGTGTGTCTGTCTGTACATTTCCCTTTTGATGGATGCATATTGGAGAGTAGTAAATCTTGCTCTTGGCAGATGATTAAGTGCATTTTTATCAAGCATTTCCAGTAACTTTTTAAAGTGTGATAACGATTCCATTCCCACTAATAATCATGAGAGTCTCTGTTGCCACATTATTGGGTCATTTTCCCATGTATGGAGTCATTCCTCACATACAAGGAAATGCAAACATTTCACCTCACCACCCACTGAGATTTGACAGATGTTTATCTTGTGAGATACAATGTTACATAATACAAAGGAAAATCTTTACCTAAAGATAGAAAATGTCCTTGTACCAGGAAGATACAAGACTTCCAATATAGAGTCATGTATCTTTAGTGACTGAGCTACCTTCTTAGAAATGCACCAATAGCTGACTTCATTGTTGCTCATTGTGTAAGCATGCTTACACAGCCCTGTAGGGCATAGCCCATTATACATCTGGGCTATGCCCTGTCAGCTAGTACTCCTCAACTATAAGTTAAGTGTGTTAAATAATACAAGTGACTAATAAAATGGTAAGTGTGTAGCTAAACATAGAAAATGTACAGGAAAAATATGGTATTAAAAGACCCATCCATGCAAACAATTGCCATGAATAGCACTCAGGACACTTGCTCTGGGCCAGTCTGCATGATAAAGGCCAGTGACTCCACACACCCAGGGATTTGTAAACACTACACTTAGGTGGCACTGAGATTATAACAAAATTTCTTTGGCCTATTGTGACATTTTTGCTTCATAAAACTTCTAAGTTTGTTGAATGTTTTTGACTTTTGTAATAACACTGCTTAAATCATAAACGTTGTTGCCCAGTTGTATAAAATATTTCTATCTTTACACTTTTTTATACTGCTATTGTGACTTGAATTCAAAGCCTGGGATCAGTCTTTTAGCTTCCTTGATCCAGGCTGATGCTCTACCACATGGAGCCACAGCTTCACTTCCCACTTTTTGCTTGTTATTTGGAGATAAAGAGTTTCAAAGACTCTTTATCCTGCTTGGGCTGGCTTAGAACCTCAGTCCTCAGATCTCAACCTCCTGGGAAGGTCGGATTAGAACTGTGAGCCACTGAGTCCCACCTGGGACCATCATTTAAAAAATATCTTTTCTGGGAGTTCCGGGAAGATGGCAGAGGAGAAGCTGGAGGCTAAACAAGCTCTCCCATAGAAAGCAGTTTTAGTGCTCTAGTGAACAGAGAATCACACCAATGTGCCATCACAGTACAGAGAGTTAGGCCAGAGAGGGAAAATCCAGGCAAGGAGACAGATCTGAGCACTTGCCAGCAGCCTTGGCTGTGGCTGCAGCGGCAGCAGCAGCGGCTGTAGCTGCCATACCTGCAACACAGAGAGTCTGGGACAAAGGTGCCAGACATAGCGGGCAAGTGGATTCTACTCAACACAAGCAAGAACCGACAAGGAGCAGACATCTTCATCCTACAGTTCGCAGACCAGAGACAACCCAAGAACCAAGACTCCAGAGTGTGTAGAAGCCTGACATCTTCACTCCTTCTCAGGGAGAAGAGGAGGGAAGGCCACCCCCTCACCTCCCACTACCAGAGATCTCCATCTTTGATATTGACAAAGGCCTGGCTGAGCAGCTAGCTCCAACTCAGGCCTTGGAAGAAAACAAAAGAGCCATTTAGCAGGTCATAGGAACCTAACCTTACCTGCCAGGCTCAGCTCCACCCAGGGAAAAGTCACCCAGCCCAAGCCACCAGCCCCAGGAGTGGCTTTCTTCACTGGGTAAACAGAGCCAGAGGCTGCCCCTCCCTTGACAATCAATTGAAATTCAGTAAACATAAACCTTGAGAATGGCTCTAGGCTGGGCTCTGTGAGTGTCTCAGAAGCTATCCTCTGAGAGAAAAGCTACTGTTTGCTGAAAGGTCTCAACTCTACCCATAACCAGGCCTCAACACAGCATCTCCAAACTGAGGAAACAGCCATCTCCCTCTTTTGTGATACTCAAAGCAGATCTCCCTCCCATTGAACTAACCTGGGAGCACACAATCCTGGGTAAAGCAGAGCATTTTTCTGCCTGCTCAAACAAACTGACTTAAGAAACCAAACAATCCACAGGATAATCAAACACCACAACAGACCAAACTCTCCAACAAGAGACTGGTTATGGACACAAGGAAGATACAGGATATTCCCATCCCCCCCAAAAAAATCAAAGAACTCTTTTTTTTGTACCTTTTATAAAAAAAATTTTCTAAAACTTTTTTTAATTTTTAACTTTTAAAAAATTTGTTTTCCATTAACTTTTTTTCCACTTGTAATTTTATAATTTTTATTTTAGGGATATGTGTGTGTGTGTGTGCTTTTTTTTGCTTTTCATAATTTTTTTTTGTTTAGCTCTACTGACCTTTTGACCCCTTTTTCTTTCCTTCTCATTGTTTTCACTTTTTCTTCTCTTTCTTCTTTGCATGACTTAATTGCTCTTCTCCTCATCCTCAGATATACCCATAGTCGATTATTAGACCTTATCCCCCATTGTGTACACACTTAATCCAGAAATTTATTACTCAATTCAAAACCTCTTAGACTTAAATTCCTTAATACCAGTACTACCTCTTTATAACTATATAATATTTTAAGCATTTTTATTTTTAAGTTTTTTATGTCTCCTATCTATCCATCCCTTTCTCTTATCATATAGACATTCTTCTCTGAATATTATGCTTTTAATTTGCATAATTTTCAAGTGCTTCACTTTTTAATTTTTAATTGTTTTTTTATTTTTTCGTCTCTTTTTTTCTATCTCTTTCTTCTTTTTTTCTCTCTCTCCACTATCATTCTATCCAACCTATTTCCCACTTTGAGATTAGGACTTAGTTAAATCTCCCTCTGCCTTTCCACAGCCCTCTATTCTTATTTTTACCCACATCTCCCCTAACCCTAATAATTTCTGGTCTTCCAAATTCTTCTTTGCGGTTCATAGCCCATTAATATATAGTTGTTTGATGTTGAATAGATGTATCTGTTGAACTAGATTGTATCTGCAGACTTTTGACTGTGCAACTACAGACTTTGGTTGATGCTTGCCTTAAGATAGTGTTCTAGCACAAAACTGGTGTTACTTTCATCCCAAATGGGCAGAGCAACTGGAAAAACACAAGAAAAATGGCAAGTCTGGGTATCTCAACTCCCATTCATGATAATCAGGGGACAGGACAGATAATGAATAATCCAGAGGAGAGTTCCCAAAAGGCTCTTCAAACACTATTGGAAAACATGAAAAGATTGGTAAATGAAAAGATTGAAAACCTGCAAAGGACTCTGTGTGAGCGTAATAGGGAGAGAGAGGATGCAAACCAAAGGTCAATACAGGAATATCATGAACGTGAGGAAGCTACTCAAAGATTGATACAGAAATTGCATGAGCAGCTTGAGAACACTCAGAGAGAAATAAAGGAATGTCATGAGCAGGCTGAGATCAGTCAAAGAGAGACAGAAATTGCAGGAGCTGGCCAAGAACAGACAAAGAGAAAGTCAGGAATGGCGTGAGCAGACTGAGAATACTCAAAGAGAACTACAGGAATGGCATGAATGTTAGAAAGCTAATCAAAGAGTAATACAGGAATTGAGAGAGCAGGGTGAGAATACACAAAGATCACTAAAGGCTGAAAGAAGTCAGGGAGGCCACAAAGGAAATGCTGAACAGAAAGAATCGTAGTCCAAGGAAACAATAACCAACCAACTAAGTTTGAGAAGTAAAGAAGTTCATACAAGATCTAAAACAAAGCTCCAACAAAGAATTTGAAGCCATCAAAGCTAACCAACTAGAAGGAAAAGAAATAAAAAACAAAGTAGAAAGTCTTGACAGTAAGTTAGACCATGCAGAAGATCGAATTTCAGGGATATTAAAGATATTATAGAGAAAGAACATACAATCATCCAAGACAAATCCAAGAAATATGATAGATCTATTCAACACATGGAAGACACCATCAAAAGGCTTAATCTGAGGATAATGGGTGTAGAGGAGCACCTAGAGACAGAAGTTAATGGTCTAGGAAATTTGTTTAACAGGATCCTAGCAGAGAACTTCCCAAACATGCAAAAAGATAGGCCTATTCAGATACAAGAAGCTTTTAGAACTCCAAATAGACCGGAACAGAACGGGACATCCCACCATCACATTATAATCCGCACAGGATGAACATGGACCAAGGAAAAGATCCTTAAAGCTGTCAAGGAGAAAAGATTAATTACCTATAAAAGGAAACCAA